AACTCCACAATCAAATGGATTTGAGAAAGCCAAGATTCGGCATCTCAAGATAATAGCCAATTACATCAAAATCTCTCTATTCTTTTTGTCAAGACTCAGACTGAACAGCACTTTACATGAAAATGCTCCTTAATCCTCGTAATAACGCTATAAAATAGGTACTACTGTTATTTTTGTTTTGTAAGTAAACTGGGGCTTTTGGGAAACTGGATAAACGCAGCTATAGAAGAATCTCTTCCCTTAATTGAAAACATACATATTTCCCAAATCTGTGAATGAGTTCATCAGGTTCGCTGACAGGAAAGAAATAAAACCTCGATGTTTTATAATTATGTAACATTTCCTTCAGGCGGCTCAGCTGTGGGTATTTGTGATGCTCGCTTTATAAATACATCACGCAGATCCAATTCACAGTGCACAGATATTTGGCTGTCTGCGTTTTGAACTCTGGCCCACATTAACTCATGTCTTGGTTTCTTATTCCAGATGGTGGGTTTCACAGTAAATAATATAAACGAGAAAGTAAACAGGAAGAAAGTCATGTAACTAATGAGCAGCTTCCTCAAAAATAGTTTCTATGGGTAAACAATAATCTTGCTTATTTCGTAAACTCATAAAGGGAATTTTATCCTATTGCAATTCCTCTTGTTTTCAAAAGATAGTCTGCAAGGTGAAGAAACAGGCACAAAAATAGTACACTTTTTCCTCATTTTAGATTAAAAGATTGTTTTAATTCTAAGATTTTAAGTTTTATTATTTATACTTTAATTTATAGCAACAAAATGATCATTAAGATAAACTAAAATGGAAGGCTTGCTAATATAATATCTAGGTTAGATAAAAATCTATTATTGTGAGGGTTGCAAAGTTAAAAGAAGTAGTATTAATTAAGGTTGTGATTAAATTATAACATTTTAGTTGTATGATAATAAGAAATTTTAATCTACAGTTTATGATCACAGTTTGTGATGAACTCTTTAACTTTTCATTCCAAACATACGGCTATTCTAAAACGAGCAAACAGATGGGGAAATAAACCGGATAGTAGAAGCCTTGTCTGAAAAAGTAGTAATCAATTCAATGCAGTCTAAAATGCAATCATTTTTGGCAAAGTTGTTCGATAAACATGAAGTTGAACAAATCTGTTAGTGAAGTGATTGGGTGGTTTCACTGAAACCAGTTCCTCACAGACTTTTTCTTTCATCTGAATAAATACAAAATGAGTAAAATGTAATTTTCATGAGATTCACACTGAGAAGTAAAACATAAAATGCTCTCCAGAGATTACTAACTTAAAGCAACTTTAGGTTAGAACATTTCAAAATCTCTCAATGAAAGATGTCTGTCATGTACATGATTCCATATTTTGGGATGATTGATATTTTATATTTCCCTGTCTTATTCTCTGAAAACTGTCCACAGCCCTTTTTTTTTTTTTTTCAAAGGGCATTAAATAAAGGAGTCAAATGAGGAGATATTGAACTAGTATCTTCCAAGCCCTATAAAAAGGGAAAATTCCCACATTGGGCTCATATTCTTAACTTACAGGTGTGTCCTTAACGAAGTGGTTTATCCTCGGTGACCCACGGTTTCATCAGAATCAGGAGTCTTGGTTTTCAGTTTTATTCTACTTTTCTATCATTGGTAACTAAAGATATCAATCCTTGTATGAATCAAAACTCTGAGGAAAGGCTATGAAATTATTTTAATCTTTTTTTTTTTTGAGAGGTTTTTGCTATAGGGCGTGTGCACTCACCAGAAAGACAGAGACAGAGAGACAGAAAGTGAGAAATTCCCCCACAGGGGGGATGGCCACGCCACAATCCCTTCTCCTCCATTCTCTTTCCAGGATCTTGGGTACGCACGCACACACGCCCGGCGTGAGTTTAAACCACTGGGTCTGGGACTCGAACTGCATTCGACTACATAGTCCAGCAACATAACCATTACTCCAACTGCTGGTCCCATTATTTTAATCTTTATGAGGTAAAGGATTACATCTATCTTGCTGCTACTAGATTCCTAGAATGTACTGTCTGTCCACCATAATTACCCAGTGAATGCAAGAATGAACAAGAGAAAGAAGGAAGATCAACATGCAGAACAATTTGAAGCAAAGTGAAAAACATAAAGAGGCACACTTTGGGAAGCTGCTAATTGATAAAATCACAAGATGCCCAGTTTAATTTAAATTTTAGATAATCAACAAATAGTGGTTCAGTGTAGTTTCCAAAGGTTGCAAAGGGGTCTATATCTATTATGTAGACACTTATGTACATAGTATGTAAAACTCAAATTTCACTAGGCATTCTATATTTTATCTGACACCACTGAATCCACATAAAATCTTGCAAAACTCCCAGGAAGTCATTCAAATGTGGTGTGTAGGAGTGCTTGTGCCGTGTAAGCCACAGGAGACACTGTACTAGGTGGTGCAATCAAAGCAGCAACGTAAAAGCGCTGTAATGAAGTATACAGAAGGAAAACTTCCATTTTTACATCAGCGAGATCAGAACTAATAAAGCCAAGGGACTGGTGGGGGTCGGGGGCGGGGGACTGCGTAGAAGAGAAAGACTTAGGAGACCTGTGTCCCAATCCCAGCTCTGCTGAGAAAAGTCAGGCGAGGACAGCACTCAAAATGGTCAATAAATTATTTTTTAAGCCCACTGCCACCCATTTATAAAACCTAAGTTTCTAGAGAAGACACATTTAATTGGTATCACAACAGCTACATGCATGCCATGTGTCACACATGGAGAAAAATAATGTCACTGACAGTAAGGTTAAGTATATCTTCATCTTGGATGAATTTTAAAATAAACATTGACTTTATCACAAATACATTGCTATTCCTTCCCCTTTAAAAAAAATTCATGATAGACTCGAGAGACAGGAACACCCTTCACAGGGCCTGGTCACACCAAAAGCCTCCTCACCCAGTCCTCCAGCCCACAAGCCTGGCACGTGGGGCTGACCTGGCTGAAGACTCGGATCTTAGTCCCTACGTGGGATCTAGCTTCTCTTGAGCTGTGCATTACCACCACCACAGGGAACTGGCCCACGACAGACTTTTCTTTTCTTTTTTTAGAGGTCTTTGCCTTATGGCAGGTATGCTTTTAGAAGAAAAATGAGATAGTGAGAGAGAAAGTGAGAAATCACCCCCCAGGGTGGATGGTCACACCACAATCCCTTCTCTTCCATTCTCTACCTGGGATCTTGGGCACACGCTCTCAGCATGAGTTTGAAGCCACGAGGTCCAGGATTCGAACCCTGTCAGCCATGTGGGAGTCCAGCAACATAACCACTTTGCCATCTGCTGGCCCTACAATAGACTTTTATTACAGTTGATATGAAAAGGAAACTGACATACCTCATCTCCCGGACATAAACAGAATGCCACAAGATACTGAATTTGTACTCTTTCTTTTTAAACAACAGGGGTCACGTTTGCTTCTTCAATTCCCCTGAAGGTCAAGCAACAAATAGAAACAATGCTACCGAAACAGCGCAAAATGTGAGGCTGTTCCCTGATCGTCAAACACGTTCCACAGGTGTGATGCTTTAACAGAGGGAAGCACAATGCTGGGTTCTCTATTTATTTTTAAGAATTACTTTTGTAAAAAGAATTATTTTTTAAACTTTATTTATTTATTTATTTATCTATCTATTTTTAATCAGACCAGAGAAGGACAGAGTGAGAGGGAGGGAATGTGAGAAAGCAAGCTCTCAGGTCTAGGACTCAAATCAACGTTGGCCATGTGGCAGTCCAGTGCCTTTAACTACCATGCCACTTGCCGGCCCAAGAATTACTTTATTTAGCTTTATTTACTTATTTTAATTTGACCAAAGACAGAGGGGGAGAGAGAGAGAGAGACAGAGAGAAAGTGAGAAAGCAAGCTATCAGGTCCAGGACTCAAACCACGGTCAGCCACATGGGAGTCCAGCACACTTAATCCCCATACTACCTGCCGGCCCCCTGAATTTTTAATTTTTATTTTTTGAAATAGAATATTTAAGTTTTCACAGCATCCTATCAGTGGTGTTAGACAGAAATGATTGAGAAATGACATTTGAGCAGTTAAGGGCAAGATGATGGTATGAAGAAGTAGAAGAATTTAAGATGATAAGATCGCCACACAAAAAATATTAGCTATTTACTAGTCATTGAAGCAAATTTAATTCTTCCTCCATAGCACACATGGAACTGAAGAGTAAAGGTTATTATTCTTGAGGACCTGGCTAAATGACAACCTGAAAGTGACTAGGCTCTTGCTGGGTGGCCTTAAGAAAGTTCCTAACCTTTCTGAGAACTACAGGGAGAGAGCCAGTAGCCTGCAGAGGGGGAACCGCAGACCTGCTCACTCACCCCTTCCAACTCCTCTGAAGCACCCTCACCGCACGCCCGAGGGAGGCAGGGGAAGGATCACGTTTACAGACTCCCTTACCGCTCCAGCTCTGCTAAGACCAGGCCTTTGCCAAAGAGAACCACCCACGTAAGATTTAAAAAAGGAAATGAGACAGAGGGTACGCTGCTGCTATTTCTACTGCCAAGCACAGTTGCTGAGGCATCTGCGAGGATGATTCTGAAATGTTTTGAGAGTTATTCCTGGAAGCTCAGGCTAGAGCCTGCTCTTCCAGGCCTTGGAACAATTTTGTCAGCATCTCCTTCCCTACTTTAAAACTCTTTCAGCTCAACAAGTTGGCGGCTTTCCTACTTTCTGCAATCCTGAATAATACAGGGAATATCTGAGGTCCTTCTCAATAGTTCCGTGAAAATTTTCTAACAGGACTTAGCTATATCCTGTCCAATGTAACTTGTTCTTCCACAGGGAGAGAAAAAGAAAAATCTCCTAGTCCTTGAAAGCCCTTTGCATATTAAATGCATGTCGTTGCTACTGAGGATAAATGAATAAGTGTTCATAATAATGAAATGGCTTCTCCCCGGAGAAGGAATGAAGTCGTCCCGCATTAGCTTTCACGGATAAGTCCTGAAGACTGACCTGCTACAGCCGTGTCCAGCTCATCGTCATCGAAGGATTCCTGCGTGGCAAAGTCTCTCAGAGGAGACAGCGGGTAAGACGTGTTGAGGTTCAAGCCCAGCATGAAGTTGTGCACCTTCCCAGCACGCCCTTCTCTGGTGTTGAATAGAGCTGAGTCACTCACCAAGGCCATGACCATACGGTGAACCCAGCTCGCTTGATTATCGTCTTGATATTCCCTTTCAGCATCTTCATTTTCAGTGCCTAAGGAAGAGGATGAGATCATTCCACAGGCTCCAAAATCCACTTTCTTTTTTTAAAGACGTCTCCAGGTAACTGAACATGAAAAATAACAATGAATCCCTATGGCTTTTAACATGGGTTTATTTGTGCGCATTGATGTAGTCGATTAATACTTCAGTTAATTATTTTTGTTCTTAAATTGTTCCTAGTTACCGTTTTCCTATTGTCAGTATAAAGGGTATATCCTTGCTGGTGCCACTTGGGGTAGTCTTAGATATTCAGGTCAACTTCCATGTCCCCTTTTCCCTCTTCCCTAGTCCTGTTTTTCCCCCTCGACTGCACACACACACACACACACACACACACACACACACGCAGAAAATCCACAGTAGCTACACTGTTCTATACATCTCTGTTTCTTTAGAGTGTATTTATTTATTCCTTCCATAAGAGAGAGTCACAGAGAGAGAGAAGACCAAATAGCAGGGTCTTCATTCCATAATCCATCCCCTTCCTCAGCCAGCCTGGATTGCAGGCACATGCACTCCCAGTGTGCACAGGGAGGTCCTAGGCCAAGAGCCTGGGACCTTCCCATATGGGCCCAGTATCACAGAATGTTGTGTTACAGGTGCATCACCAACTGGCCCCCATTCTCTACACTTCTCAGGTTTCCTTAGAAATCTTACTCTGTTCAGTCAATATTCAGGAATTATGCCGGATGAAGAGACAGCTGTAAGATTCAATGTGTGGTTGCTACTCAGAAAACACCCCAATGGCCTATTAGTTACATGACCAATCACTTCATCTCTGCATATAGAGCTTGAGGATTTAAAATCCCATAACTTAGACAAATGTTTTAAAATGTGGCAATCATCTAAAAGAAGCAGTTTTAAATTATTTTTCCTTACAACCTATGCATATGTTCCAACTACCGGGAAGCTACACAGTACAGTCATTCAGAGCACTTGTTCCAGAAGCAGACTGCCCTGGCTCCCACCCTCTCTCCACAATTTCCAAGTCACTCGCCCTTTCCTTCCTTCATTTCCTCATCAGTTAACCTGATGAGTTTATTGAGGCTTCATTCATCATTTCTAAAACTTGAAATCAACCAAGATATCCTTCAGTAGGTGTGTAGATAAACAATGTTACTTCCAGAAATTAGATTATTATGCACCACTAAAAAGGTGAGCTCTCAAGTTGCATGAAAAGACATGGAGGAACTTGAAATTCGTATTACCAAGTGAAAGACGCCAAACTGAAGAGGCTACATACTATACAATTACAATCATATGACACTCTGAAAAAGACAAAACTACAAAGGTAATAAAGAGATTAGTGCTCACTGGGATTAAGGGGAGAAAGAAGAATGAATAGGTGAGCAGGATTTTCAGGGCAGTGGAACTACTGTAAATGGTAACTGTAATGGTAAGTATAGTCATGACACATCTGTGCAAACTCATAGACTACACAACACCAAGAGTGAACTCCAGTGTAAACAATGGCCGTTGAGCGATAATGACGTGTCGATGCAGGTTCAACAGCTGTAGTAAGTGACCCCTGTGGGCTAAATGTTTATAGAGGCTGAGTTTGTGTGAAAGGAAGGGCACAGAGAACCTATGGGAAATCTGTACTTTCCGCTCTGTTTTGCCTGGAGCCTAAAACTGCTCTAAACAACTCTATTTAAAAGGAAAAAGAATAGATATTGAGACCTAGTAACAAACCCTTAAGAGGATCCTAAATATCACAATCTCATCTAAACTGGTACTAAAACCAAAGTCATAGAGTCCTTGAATTTCTTGGGCTGAAAAACTACCTAGTATGGACAGCAGAGTGATCGGATGGACTGACCACCTACAGCGATTTCCAAAAACTACCTAGTACGGACAGCAGAGTGATCGGATGGACTGACCACCTACAGCGGTACCCTTGGTAACTGACAAGCCATTGATATGTCCACTCAGTAGTCCCCACATGAGATGCGAGGTGCGAGGCATATGCTTAACCTCTTTGCATGGGCTGGTTTCCTTCATTAAAAGTAAATTTAAAGTACAAGGGATTTGAACAACTAAAAATAAATAAGTAAAGTCAAATTAAGAAGATAAAGAAGCCAGAATGAAGACTCAGTTCTTTCCTAGCAGGGCTCTTTGGGGATTCTGCCAAATGACCATTTGATTAGTCAGTACACCGGGTGCCTGAAGTTGTAGGGAATAGGCAGCTTGTGCTCCCCGGTGAAAGCTTTGTATGCTTAAGAGATGCCCCCTTTTTCTCTAAATTGCCAGGGGGCACCTGCCCTCACCAGAAAGAAAGAGAGAGAGAGAAGAAGTGCCACCTCGTGGGGTGTGGTCATGCTACAATCCTTTCTCCTCCATTCCTCCATCCCATCGGGATTTAGGGCACATATGCACATGCACCTGGCATGTTTTTCAAGCCACCAGGGCCCAGGTTTCAACAATGGTTGGCCATGTGGGATCTGGCTTTCTGTACCAGTAAGCTACAGGGTTGGCCCATGGGATGCCCCTTTCTAACGCCGAGACACTGCACCCCAACCAGACTTTGCCCTGTGCAGTGGCACTCCCCAAAGAAGGCATATTTTCTCTAATTTGCATAAACTTAGCTTAGGAGGAAGCAATAGCTCAGCTATGAAAAGGGAAGCTCCATTTTAGTGATAATTAAGCAAAGGTCTAACAGCCTCTTCCAGTATGGATGCCACGCCCGGTGGAACTGGTTAACTTTTGGACAAGAGGTATTTAACATCTTCTGAAGTCTAGATGATCGTATTCAAACTGCAATAAGAGGCTCTCCCAGTTGTAGTCTTCTCGTCGTTTGTTTTATTGTATGGCTTATTTATTTTTTGTTTTTATTTTTTGGATTTTTGGGAACATTTTTATAGATGGCATTATGAAAACACTGGTCAAAAGGTAAAAATCTCCACTTTACTATACATAACATTAACAACAAATACCTCTGATCCTCACCTTATTCCTGCCAAATCCCCAGGGACAATCATGATTCACACCAAACAGAACTATGTTATCAAATATTAAAAACACTCGCTTTTACATGTTGTAGGTTATATACGCAATAGGTCCTTGGTATTTTCCCCCCCAGTTCATCACTGATCCCTTTCTAAGGGTGGGATATTGACCACAGGAGAAGGCTTAGGAATGGAGTGAGAATCCAATGTTTAATAATAAAATAATAATAAAATGTTAAAATAATACATTTAATAATAAAAGTTTAACAAAATTTTAATCATAACATTTTTATTAACAATAATAAAATTAATAATACATTTTTAAAAATAAAATTTTAATTTCGAAGACATCTAAAAATGTACATCAGTCATAATAGCCATGCAGAGAAGCCCACTGTCCTAATCAGACTTTAAACAGAATTCAGTGTTTCTGCCGTATCGGAGTTTCCGACTGGCAAATGTTTCGGAGGAATTAAAAGGAAAGGTGATGTAAATGTGCCGCCTATTTTGTTACATATGCAACACTCAACCCTGTCTATCCACAGAACGCTACACTCCTGTCACTCAGGGCCTTACGTGGAGAGGGCCGTGAGCACTGAGTGACAGGACCGACCAAAGCGTTCCTACCCGTTCCTGTGGGTCTGCCAGAGAAGGTTCCGGCTCGCTTACCTTTGCGTTCTTGTGATTCATCATCGCTGTCTGAGCTATCGTTACTCACAATATGCTTTGCTGTAATGTTTTCTGTGGAAAGAAAACAAAGCAATTGAAGCATCTCGGGTTGTCTAAATTCGCACATTTATTATGAAGTCGTAATCTGAGCAAAACCACAAAATGAGATTCACTAGACCTGTTAGCATCAATTTAGATGCACCGAGTGAACCTAGATTTATTAGATGTACTCGTGGTTCCAAATGTCTCATTGGAAAACAAAATTTCCAAAGACATGAAAAATTAAATTATCATTATGATTACTATTATTATTATGTTTTTGGTGTGTTCACTAGAGAGGAGAAAGACAGAAAGATGTAGAGATAGAGGGAAAGTGAGAAATCATCCCTCAGGGGGATGACCACCCACAATCCCTTCTTTTCCGTTCTCCTTCAGGGTATTGGGTGCAAACACACATTCACCATGTGGGTTTAAAGCCACAGGGTCCGGGACTCAAACCACAGTCAGCCATGTGGGAATCCAGTTGCCTTAATCACCATGCCATCTGCTAGCCCACATTCATTCATGATTTAAAGAAAAGAATTTTTATTTATCTTAATTCCGGCAGGAATAACCATTTGATTATGGAAAGATCTTTGTTATACCAAACAATATGCATTTTTCTTCAATTAAATGTTTTAAGTAGTATTTATGAGAGTAAAAGGGTAAAACCAAAATCTGCAAGGGAACTGCAGAATAGTTTCCTCAAAGTGCATGAAAGTTCCAAATATAAATTATCTTTTGATGTTCAATAAAACTGAAAATAGTGGGTTTGAAATCCACTTTTTGGATCAAGAATTTGTGCTTCCGGAACCATTAGCATAATAGCTATGTTGCTGGACTCCCATGTAGCCAACCGCGGTTCAAGTCCTGAACCCGGTGGCTTAAACTCATGCCGGGCATGTGTACGTGCGTGCCCAAGATCCCAAGAGGGGAATGGAGGAGAAGGGATTGTGGCGTGGCCATCACCCCGGGGGGTGATTTCTTGCTTTCTGTCTCTCCGTCTCTCTCTGTCTCTCTGGCGAGCGCATGCGCCCTATAGCAAAAACCTCTCCAAAAAGAAAAAAAAAAAGAATTTGTGCTTCCTGCAGAACATATTAAGAAAGCAGCTATAAAAACTAAAAGAGCAACTGTGCATTCTCAAGCCACAGACAGCAGTAAAGTCTAGCGTAATAACTAGTAGTTTTTTCAAGGAAAATATACCAAACTTGTGGAGTATGCTGATAACGCTCATAATCATCATTTGTAGAAAAAGCTAGCATTCTTTCAACACCTACATGAAACCATTCTCTGTAATGACTATTTTCCCCCTCTCCATTTTTTTTGGAGAGGTTTTTGCTATAGGGCGTGTGCTCGCCAGACAGACAGAGAGAGACAGAGAGACAGAAAGCGAGAAATCACCCCCCAGGGGGGATGGTCACGCCGCAATCCCTTTCCATTCTCCTCTCGGGATCTTGGGCACGCACGCACACGTGCCTGGCGTGAGTTTTAAACCACCGGGTCCGGGACGCAAACCGCGGTCGACTACGTGGGAGTCCAGTGAAATAGCCATTATGCTAACTGCTGGTTCCCTCTTTGCATTTTTAAAAAAGATTTCTTTTTTTTAATGAATTTATTTATCATTATTATTATTATTTTTTTAATTTGGCCAGAGAGAGAGAAAGGGAAAGTCAAAAAGCAAACTCACAGGTCCAGGACTCGAACCACAAGTCAGCCTTGTGGAAGTCCAGTGCCCCGACTACCACACCATTTGCCAGCCCAAATTGTGTTTATTTCCTTCATGAGAGACAAGCACCCTCAACAGGCTCTCACAGTGTGATTCCCCGGTCCTTCCCAGCCAGTCGGGATCATGGTGCCAGGCATGGAAGGTCAAGCCGGAACAAAGCCTGTAATCTTCCACATGGATCTGGCTGCTTCTGAGCAGTGAACCACTGCAAGGTCACCCAGCCGGCCCTTTCTTTCCCTCTGCAATGAGTCACTGCACTTCTTTTTCTTTAGGAAACTAACTCCAAATATATAAATTTCAGGAGTATAATCGTTCGGGGGCTTGAAACTCAGAGAGATATAGGTATGGCATTTGGTTTGACCGTATTACTTTACACGAGTTTATTATACCTGTGTGAAAGTCCTGTGCGAGTGTATGTAGTGGAAGGGTTACATGCGTAGGGCAGTAAATTGACATTTTTGTTTTATACTGACATACATTGAAACGCCATAAAGTGAAATGCTCACTGATATTGCTATTCATTTCATTTCACGACTATTACAGGAAGTAGTCTTGTCGTATGGAGAAGGGAGGCTATTAAGAAATGATCCACTCCAGATGTCAGATACTCACTACGCTTCTGGTCTATGTGAATCTTCATTCCTTAACCATTTTCTTTTTCTTTCTTTTTTTTTTTTTGTCACATTTGATACTCTGATTTAGGAAGCTTGTTCACCAAATACTGCCTTCTTTATAAGGAAGTATTCATAATATAAATAACTAAATGTTCTGAACTTTAATCTTGTTCATCTCTGTGGTATAATTGTAGCTCCATAGCTCCACCTGTTCAAAAGTATAACCTACATTTAAAACTCCTTGAGAAAGTAAAAAATGTCACTTACAGTCACCGGATAGTGATCTAATTTGCCTTAGAGTCTTTTCTTCAGAAGGGAAAAAAAAAAAAAGTGAACCCTCCCTGAACATGCCTCTGTAAGGTGGACTTCTGTCAGGATGAAAAAGTCTCAAGGAGTCCTGAGTCCCCTCAGTCCCCTTTGGTTTCATTTCTCCTCGGTCTCGGATCTCGTTTCATTTCTGGAAACCCTGACTTAGTCTGAGGTAACATGCATCCTGCTGACCGGTAGATCTTAAGTACACAGTATCCCCTCCGTCTGACACACCCAGCAGATAAACAAGCCAGCCAGACCGTCCGCCTTGGAGGGGACTTCTCAACAGGCTTCTCAAAGTCCGTTAGTATAAACGTCCTCCCTTCCCTTGACCTTTAGCTATTGTCTCACCCACCTTCAGTGGTGTTATTTCAGCCCTATTCTCTTCCTGCCTTAGGAGAAAAAAAAAAAAACAAAAAACAAACCCTAGAATATCAGGATTATTCAACAGAGAATAAGCACAGGAAGCAAACCTCCAAACATGAGATTTTCTGTTTTTCTTTTTTCTTTTTTTTTTTTTTCCACCCTCAACTTCTTCACATAATTTAGGGAAGAGTTTGTTTTTGCACAAAAGTAGAGTTGAGAACAAGATATTCCTCTGGGATAAGATGTTCATTAAAATAAATCAAGCAAGGTCATTTTGCCATTATACACTTGGCCTTGCAGTTACTGTTAAGAGCCTGGGCCCCACAATGAAGGAGGGCCGCCTACGCTGGCAGATTAATAACTGAGTGATGCTCTCTGAGACAGGAGCAAGAACAAGTACAAAGTGCCCTTTTTTAGATAGAGTTTTATTTATTTATTTATTTATTTATTTGCTATAGGGCACGTGTGCTCGCTGGAAAGACAGAGACAGAGTGACAGAGAGTGAGAAATCACCCCTCAGTGGAGGTGGCCACGCCGCAATCCCTTCTTCTCCTTTCTCTTTTTGGTATCTTAGACACGCACGCACATGAACCCAGCATGAATTTTAAGCTGCCTGGTCTGGGACTTGAACTGTGGTAGACTACATTAAGAGTCCAGTGATGCAACCATTACAACATTTGCTGGTCCCACAAAGTGCCTTTTTGTTTGCTTTGATTTTCATTTTAAAATATTTGGCTTTAATAAAATTGTAAGACCACTTTTCCATTACAGTTTGACTATTTCTTATCCAAAATGCTTAGACCGCAGCTGTTTCTGATTTCAGATTTTTCTTTTTTTGTTTACAATACTTGCATATATATACTGAGATCTCTTGGGGAGATCTCTTGTCTTCAAGTCTGAAGACAAAATTCATTTACCTTGCATAAGTACCTTATGGATATTGCCTGAAGGTAAACTGTATACAATATACTTTTTAAGATAATTATTTTATTTAACTTTACTTATTTATTTAAATTCAACCAGAGAGAGACAGAGTAAAAAGAGAAGGAAAATGAGAAAGCAAGCCGCCAGGTCTGGGACTCAAACCGTGGTCAGCCGTCAGCCATGTGGGAATCCAGCTCTCTTGGCCACCACGCCACCTGCCTGTCCCCATATACAATATTTTTGCATTGCAGCATATTGAGTGTGACCAGTCATGTGAGGCTGGGTGTGAAATTTTCCACTTGTGGAATCATGTTAGTGCTGAGCAGGTTTCCGGTTTTGGAACATTTCAGATTTCATGTTTTCAGAACAGGGATGCTCAACCTATACTTAGTAAGAACTATCCACAATTAGGAATGACAGTATTGAAGAAAATATTAAGGACTACAGACATTTCCTGCACTAAATAGATGTGATAAAATAGAAAATTGAAGTCAATTCTTGCAGAAGGAGTGAAATTACTGCTTATAACTTACACTGTTCAAATAATGTTTCAATTGTATTCTCTCTTGCATACAAAGCTTAATTAAATAAATCACCATTATCTGAGATAACCAAGGAATACTTGTTAAAAAGTCCTCTGGAGGGGCCGGCGGGTGAGGTGGTGGCTAAAAGTGCTGAATTCCCACATAGCTGACTGTGGTTCGAATCCCGGACCTGGTGGCTTTCTTTCTTGCTTTCCCTTTCTCTCTCTCTCTCCCTCTCTGGTCAGTTAAAAAATAATAATAACAGATGGGATTAGATAAATAATTCTTTTGTAAAAAAGTCGTCTCGTAAGCTTTTTACATGCAAGCATTCTTCAACTGACTTGATTTTGAAAGAGTCATTCATGTCATTCTGTCATGTTCTCCATTCTCGAATAGAGCTGTGCTGCTTCTGGGCCAGAGCAGGGGTAGTAAATGACTATCCTGGGAGTTCACAAGACGCCTCTGCCTGGCCTGTGCTGGTCCAGCCCCAGACTCGTATCTAGCACTCTCCCACTTATCTGTACTATCAGCCCACATAGCTGTAACGAAAACTGGTGTTGATGAGAAGAGCGATGGTGAGACTTTGGGCAGCCACTAAACCTAAGTTTTATTTTGAATGCTTTCAGTCAATTTATTCCTTGAAGGAAACACATATTTCTAAGATATTATTTTGACCATGAATGAAAGCCATTAGTCTTCGAGTAAGTTTAAATCTACTTTTTCAAGTTTTGTGAATATTTTTAAATGTATTACGGGCTAAGAGTTAGACTTAAAGCATTACTTTTAGTTTAGTAGAAGTGACTTTATTTATTTTCTTCTTTTAGGTATGAATTAGCTAGAGGAAATGAACAGAATTTTAGAGAGTCAATATTTAAAGGGTAAATAAACCAAGATAAGCATGGATTTATATCAATATTTGTGACTTACTGTATTTAAGTGTTGATGATTCTAATCTAAAAAGCTACCCTTATTTAATAAATGGAGTCCTCCCTAACAGAAACAGGACATAGAAGTATAATGAGGTAAAAGAATAGAGATGCTCTAGTAAAAATTAGTCTTAGCAATCAATGGTTTTATAAATTCCATAACCTTGATGTCAGAATATTATCGGGTTGTCAGAAAAGTCATGATGTTTTTCTTTTTTTTTGAGAGGTTTTTGCTATAGGGTGTGTGCGCTCACCAGAGAGACAGAGACAGAAAGTGAGAAATCACCCCCCAGGGGGGATGGCCACGCTGCAATTCCTTCTCCTCCATTCTCCTCTCAGGATATTGGGCACACACGCACACACGCCCGGTGTGAGTTTTAAGCCACCAGGTCTGGGACACAAACTGCGGTCAACTACATGGGAGTCCAGCAACAAAGCCATTACACTAACTGCTGGTCCCTCCCATGATGTATTTTTTCTATGCAAAAATGTATCATGACTTTTATAATGACCCAATAGTTAAAAAGTCACTTACATATCATTTAAGAAAAATATTTAGGTTGACTCAATAAATTTAGAATAATTACAATCTTTATAATGATTCGGTACTTTCTTTGTATACGTGTTAGTAAAATGTACTATCATTTTATCCATGTAAGCATATTTTTATGATACCTAATTCTTCCTCCATTGTAGAACCTTTATTTTGTGAGCCGGAAACTCCCAAGACTCTGTTGAACAGTATAGAAAAGGCACTGCCCCAGACACCTAAAATAAAGCAGAGACAGGTGATAATCTAAAATGCACCAGGATTTAAAGTAGTCAAAGCAACAACAGTGAGAGATTTTGATCACTTACCCATTAAAAAATGCAAGGGGTTTTCTTCATACTTCTTTACAACTGTTCCCATAAAAAATTTGCTTCCAAATAGGTCAGGAGCCATAAAAGTGCCATATTTAGCCATGCCAATCTCATATGGACTAAATTCAACCCAATCTGAAAGCATTTGAAAACAAAGCAACCTGTTAGCAGGAAAATGCTACAGAGACACACACAGTGAATGAGCTCTTCAGTGATGCCAAGCATTCATTTATTTAAAGCATTAAAAGAAAAACAATAACCAACGGTCATCATGTAGATGGCCTATGTAGAAGTTTGCCCGTGTAGATGAATGAGCCAACACAAAAATATTTAGTCTCACTTGCACAAATCAAGTATACTTTGCCAGTTAAGAACTCAGACATCTTCTATAAAGTCTTTATTGTAAAGAATAGGAAAACTGAAACTCAATGGAGAAAGAGAGAAGAAATTAAACTCTTTTCACAATGTTGGGCCAGCAGGTAGCATGGCAGTTAAGGTGCTGGACCTCACATGGCCAACTATGTGGTTTAAGTCCTGGACCCAGTATGTCGAAAATCATGCTGGGTATGTATGCTCATGTGCCCAAAAGCTCAAAAAGAAACTAGGAGAGAAGGGACTGTGGTGTGGCCATCACCCCTGGTAGTTATTTCTCACTTTCCATCTCTTTCTCTCTCTGTCTCTCTCTCTCTGGAGAATGCATGCACCTTATAACAACAACAAGACCAAAGACAATAGGAAAAAAAAAGAAAAACATGCCAACAGTGTTAGGAAACATAATAAAAATTATAATAACATTTTTTTCCACTTAATTTTTGTTTATAAATTATTCTAACACACAAGATTGCAATGCAAAGTTTTCATACTGGACATCTTAGAAATGCATGGTAGTGGGATCAGTAAGGTGTATTGTCTAAGGGCTGAGGCTCCAGAGCCCGACTGCCTGGATTCAGATCCCATTCTGCATACTCACTGAGCCTACTGACTCAGGCACAGGAATTCCCGTCTCTGAGTCTGCGCCCCTAATCTGTAAAATGTGAGTGAAATTCATAGGTAGTTTGAAGGGCTGTTTTGAGAATCCAATGGGTCAAGAAATGTGAGGAGCATAGAAAAGGGCATGGCACATTTTAAATGTTGGATAAATGATAGCCATTTCAGTATTTCATGGATTGCCATGGCTAGAACTGTCTAATAATGATCTGAATCTTCATGTTGCCCATGAGAATTTTTGACTCACACTTCCCACACTTGCAATGCCTTCAGTCTTCCCCTTGCTAAGGCAGTGGGGCTTCTTGTCACATCTCTACTCATCGTAGATCACCTCTGATGACTGTCTTAGAGCTCTCCTCTGAAAAGTCAGGTACTGCAGGCTCCACTTATCCTCTTGACCTGCTAGTACGAACTGCCACGTTCTCGCGTGGATCTTCACAAGAGCCTCCTAAAATGCGCCTAGTCCATTTCCCTACTATCTTTCTCATACTCTGTAGCTAGAATGCATTTTTAAACATATAAATCACAGCACTTCACTACCAGCAACAACTTTCCAATGACTTTTCATTCTACCAAGTATAAAAACATGGCCCACAAGGCTTTGTGTTACCTGGGCTCCTTCTCTCTGTGTGACCACCTCTAAACATGCTCCTGCCACATGTTGTCTGGCTAACCCCACCACATAGACCTTCTTGTTGTTCTTAGAAAGGCCAAGTTCATTTCTGCCTTGGCATTTCACACTTGCTAATCTTTTGTACAATTATAAGATTTGTTCCTACTAAATCTATTTTTTTATTAATTTCCTTTTACTTTTTGCAATAGGGCATATGCACTTGCTGGACAGAGACAGAGAGAGGGAAAGGGTAGAAGCACTCCTCTGCCCCCCCTGCGCCCCCCCCCCCCCCCGCGGAGATGGCCATGCTGCAATCCCTTCTCCTCCGTTTTCTCTTGGGATTCTGGGTACACATGCACAGGCACACATGCGTATTGTGTTTCAAGCCACCAGGTCTGGGACTTGAACCGTGCTGTTGGTCATGTGGGATCCAGCACCTTAACCACCATACCACCAGCTGGCCCTCCTACTGAATCTTCAGTTCAAGGTCTCCAAAGATCCTCTATAGAGTCTCACCACCATGATCCCTGACCAACCCATAACTCTCTTGTTTATTTTTTCAGTTTTTCTTTTTCTGAAATTATGAGGGGACCTTCAAAACCGTTGTGAGAAAATAGAATTAAAGTGCAAGTTTATTGACACAAAAAATAGCTTTTCATAATACACATTTTCCATGAAGTTTTTCTAGACTTCTTTTATAATAGTAGGTCTACAACCTATTAGCCATTCAAAATCCAAATAATTCCAAAACCTACAAGCTGTTTTCTTTTTATTTGGTTGTAAAACCTCATCTGGATTCTCTTAGGGAGAAACTAGACTTGAAATGTTAAAGAGCTTCCCAATTTATGTATCTCCCTCAGTGTAAATATTGACACTTTCTATTGGAGAAATAACACTCTGTCTCCCTGTAGATCCCACCAAGGTAATATATAATATTCAGTATGAGTACCTTTTTACTTTAAAACCTAAAATATTTTGAATTCCCAACCTCCCACTGTTAAACTTTTGGAAAAAGAATTGCTTAGCCAATGGTGGCTCCAAACATTTTACTTTCATGAAGGAAATTATGAAATCAAAATTAGGATAAGATAACATTGTAATTCACTCTAAGTAAAGCCAAACGACATTTGTACAATTCCTCAGAAGTGTTTTATAATGATTTATATCAAGTTAGTGAGACAAAGCAACAATGAATCAGAGGCTGATAGGAAAATCCCTGTTATCAGCACAAGTAATTTCCTATCTCTTAAGTTTCACACCCCTGTCTTAGAAACTGAAGTATCACAACCTCTGGGTTCCCACTTCCTAGCAATCTCCTCTTAATTTTTTTTTTTTTTTTGGAGAGGTTTTTGCTATAGGGTGTGTGCGCTCGCCAGACAGACAGACAGAGACAGAGAGACAGAAAGCAAGAAATCACCCCCCAGGTAGGATAGCCACGCCGCAATCCCTTCTCCTCCATTCTCCTCTCAGGATCTTGGGCATGCATGCACACGCGCCCAGCGTGAGTTTTAAGCCACCGGGTCCGGGACGCGAACCGCGGTTAACTACATGGGAGTCCAGCGACATAGCCATTATGCTAACTGCTGGTCCCGCAATCTCTTTATCAAAGCTGAGACTGCTCAGACAGTACCTGTACCTATTCTCCAGAGCTAAGATGGGCCTGCTACACCTCACTGAAGAACTCTCCAAGTTGGCATTCCACTGTTACTCTCCTGCTGCCGGTCTGGACGTTTCCATTCAAACCTTTCTCCTGCATCTTGATCTACTCATGTCCAACTTCCTGCCTTTCTGTCATCACCTCCCACTGGATAAATACTCATCTCCTTTCCTCCTTGCCCAGCTGACATATTTCAGTAAATTGCTTGTCACGGTCCAGAAATTCTGTGCTGGTTCTTTTTTTTTCCCCCCTTTCTTTGAAACCACCCTTACTTAAACCTTACCAATCGCTTTTAGACTTTTTACATCCATCTACTTAAAAAAAAAAAATCTCTTATCGTTATCTCCTTAGTTGCCAGATCTTATCACGATCACTTATCTTCCTGCTTGCAGTTTCTTTCCATTCCAATCTAACCATAAGAGTCACCAAAGTTCTTTTTATAAAAACACTGCTTAAATAATTGCATTGTCCTACCCCAAAGCATTAACTATATTGCCCATTACTACCAACATTAAATAATATTTCTTCCTGGAATTTAAGTTTCTCTTACAACTTGGCACTAAAGATTTCTCAGAACATATCCCTTTTTTCTTCACAGATGTGTGCACCAAGCTGGTTTCTAGTTAGTGATCCCAAAGCCTTCCTCTGGCTTCACTTTCAAGTGTTTTCTTATGCTGTTTCCACACAAAGTTGCCTTTTCAATTGCTAGATCCTTCCAAGTTCAGTTTGAATCTAAGTTCCATCACCCCCACAATGAGTTTCTCAGAATTACACCAAACCTCTCTATGTTTTACCCGATGTCAAGTCTACACGCTTTAGCAGATGCTGATATTCTAGGTGTATTATATTAATTTTCTCGTATTTTCATCTTATTTATTTAAGGAGGATTATAACTTTCTTTAGGAACTGTATTTTTACTCCTGTGGTTTCCATCAGAGAATTTAGCATGATGCTGAGTCTATAACTGTAACTGATTCTTGGTAAAAGCAACTTACTCACTAAGGGCAATTTTTTTGAAGTGCCACCATTTTGTTTTATTTATTGTTTATGATTTTATTTATCTTTCAGTTGCCAGAGGGCACATGCACTACCAGAGAGGGAGGGAAAGGAAGAAAGCACCTCCCAGAGAGGTGTGATCACCTATTTCTCCATCCATACATGCACACGTATGTAGCTGGTGTATTTTTCAAGCTACTGGGGCAAGAATTCAAACTATGGTCAACCATGTGGAATCCCACTCCGTTAATCACCAGGCTATGGGGCTCTGGTACACTAATGAAAAATCTTCAGCAGCATAGTAGAAGAGCATAGCATAGTAGATTAAAGAATATTGGTGACGATTTTAAATATATTTCCAAATAACCAGTAGAACAAATTTTTAAATATATGCAACACAAAATAATAATAAACATTGGAGATTATAAATATACCTGTTTATTTGATCTGTTTATTACAAACTATATGCATGCCTTGAAAAACCATATTGTACATATAATATAGCTATTATATGTAAATAAGAAATTATGATAAAAATAGTTAAAAATGGGGACCAACAGATGACGTGGTGGTTAAGGCACTGGACATTCCCACCTGGTCAACCACAGTTCAAGTCCTGCACCTGGTGACTTGCTTCTCACTTTCTCTCTCTCTCTCTCTCTATGGTCAAACGAAAATGAATCAATGAATAAATAAAATTAAATAAATGATTCTTTAAAAAAATTTAAAAATACTTTATAGTTTAAACACTAATATTTGTTCCCTATAAACTTTCTAAAAGATGGTCCACGGTTAGAATCCTAGCCCTGGTGGCTTGGAAAACATCAGTGCATGAGTGTGCCTGCTCCAAATCCTGTTGGAACGGGAAAAGGAAGGAGAAGGGATTGCAGTGTGATCACACCTCATTTGGGGATATGTTCTCTCCTCTTCCTCCAGGAAAGTGCCCAAACTCTATGACAACGAGAGGGAAAAAAAGACCAAGAATTTTCAAGACCAGTTCTCCACTCTGCCACTCATTTTCTGTGTGACAATGTGCAGATCATTTCATCTTTGTGAAATTTTAATTTTTCTTCTGTGACGTAGAGCTAAGATTACCTCCTTCCCTGGGTTACAGTAAAGTGAAATAAAGTAGCAAATGATAGTAAATGTGATTAAGTACTTTCTGAGTCATAAGCATGACAAACATTTTAGCCAATATTATTAATAAACATTTGTTGAGTAAATGAAGACCACGTGCACCACTTTTTATAAACTATTCAAAATTCTTGCCCAAGAGTAGTGAGTACAAGTAAAAAAGGAGACGATAAAACTATGGAAGTATTCTCAATACAAATCTGCTCATTATACACCGTTCATGAGGTTTCTCAAGCTCATGGTATAACTGAAGTCACTGAGATACTTTTTTAAAAAATAGAATAAACCCCACCAGCCACAGTCAGAAATGCCACCACACGTCAGATCAGTACTGACAGACGTCACCCCACAAGTACAACGTCATGTGATTCTGGAGTACTTGCAAAGCTAAGCTACAGAAGAAACAAGGGTTTACCCCCGAGATTTGACAAACTGAAGCATTTTGTTCATCAGCCACCACAGTATAGACCAGTACTTTTTAAAGTAGTAATAAAAATTAGAATAGTGCCTTTAGTGACAAGCATACATCACACTAACCAGTCAATGAAAATATAACCAACGACTAAAAGAATATGCATTGCCAAAAGTACTAGGCATATTATTTTGTCTAAGGTCATTGAGAAATGAGTCGTTAAAAAATGAATGATTGAGGGACTAGCAGATGTAATGGTTATGTTGCTGGACTCCCATATGGTGGACTGGGATTCAAGTCCCAGACCTGGAAGCCTGAAATTCACACTGGGCATGTATGCATGTGTGCAAAAAATCCCAAGAGGAGAATGGGGAGAAGGAATTGCCACGTGGCCATCCCCTCAGGGGTGATTTCTCGCTTTCTGTCTCTCTATCTTTATCTCTCTGGCAAGTGCATGCACCCTAAAAGCAAAAATCTCTCTTAAAAAAAAGTGATTGATTATATTTCTGACTTATTGTTTATTTCATGAAGGTAAATGAAACCATGATAGTTTCTAGTTTCATGAAATATTTTCTATAACCAGAAAATCATTATTAGCATTTTCTTGTATTTTCAAATGCTCTCATGCTACAAAAACATATTACAATAAGAAACTGAAATCACTTAAAACTCTCCTGTAAAGAAAATCACAGGAAACCATGGTTCAAAGGTTCCATAAAGTGTTGTGAGGAAAAACGAACATACCTGCAAACATCAGCTCTGAGACGTCAGGTTTGACATGGAGGCAGGTGAAAAGGGGTAAAGGGCACTGAGCAGTATTGACCTTCTCCTTCAAACTACTCAGGGTAGTGTTCATTCTCTGTCCAGAGAAGGAAGAAATAGCTTTAAATACATACACAGATACAAGTAGAAAGCTACTGAAAATAGTATTTCCAGTTGAAATGCTTAATCGTTTAATAATAAAAGTAAGTCTTACTATTTCTAGAACTACTGCATTCTGAATAAACAGCAAAAGTAAGCTCTATGGATGTAATTATTTTCATTCTAAAAACAACAGTAACTCCAGGCACTATGTAGATCTGAATGAGAGAATTAGTTGAAAGTCATGGAGCTGAAAAGAATTTAGTTCCTGGGACTATCTGTCTTTTCTATCTCCTCTGCATCGTCTTCCAAGCTCTTTTCTAGCTTCTCTGCCTTGTCTTCCAACGAAATGTCACACAGCAGTCACGTGTCAAGTGGGTTTCTTCCGTGCAATCTGCTTCCTTTCCTTACTCATTCTAAGCAACATCCAATCTACTTTTAAAATATCTCTTGTATTCACCTCCTTATCTAAAAAGAGGCCCATTATTGGGGGTAATGGTCATTGAAGGGTTAAAATGTAATTTTATAATTTTGCTAAAGAAAAAGAATACAAAAGCACTCCCCACATATCAAAATTGATACATCTCTCGAATGAACTGGAATGCACTAGCTGAAATGTAAAAGCGCTATAGTGTCTATGCGGGAGAATGTGCTCAGTACACACTGCGGAAAGAGTAAGTTCAGTCTAATGACTTTCACAAAGTGAGTCTCATTTTCTTTCATTTAAGTCATTATGATGGACTGACACACGAATACATGGAAACTAGGTGAACAGGTTATGGAACTATGTACCACAACAGAGTAAAGTAGGGTCCTGCCGATCATGGGTCACATATACATATCGAAATCTCAAAAAGCAAAGCCTAGTGGGACACACATCAAAGGTGTACAACACGGTGTAATGTTCTCTGTGAAGATGACGAATATGCTAACTATCCTTGATTATCACACCCTGTGTGCATGCTTTGAAACACCACACCGTACACCACAACAATGGTATGCAACAATGAACTGTAAATCAGAACTCATAACATTGAAAGAATAAACCACTATGATATAGATCATCGAGTGGTGGGAAAAGGATGCAGGTTGAACCGGGACTTACATTGTGAATTAGTGTTTCTCCTATTAACATCCCGAAGATATCCGTAAAGGTGACAGGCTGGCCAGAGCTTTTCTTCTTCCACAAAGACTCAACATATCTTTTTACTTTTTGTGGTGTGAGAAGTAAAAGGGGGTTGTGGCTAACATTTTTCATTAGCTCTTCATTAATCTCCTCTGGCCCTTTCTCTGGAAAGTCAGGATGAGAATACAAGGTGGACATGTACCTGTAAAGAAAACGAAAGACACACAGTAAAGACAGAAGGCATTACAGAGTAGTCTCCGAAAGAAGCGGGCACTCTCTTTCATAGATAAAGACAGACCGGTGAATATATTTGATTAACTGTAGTTATCGGGTTGAAGATTCTAACCCACTGAAGGAAAGAATGAGCCAAGCAGAAAGAAAAGGGGAGGCGGTGGTGTCAGCTGGTGACACAGTGGTTAAGGTGCTGAACTCACACAGGGCTGATGGCACTTCAAGTCCTAGATCTGGAGGCTTGAAACACACACTGGAAGTGTGTGTCCGTGTACATGCTCAAAATCCCAAGAGAAGGGAGGAGAAGGGGCTGTGGTGTGGCCATGCCCCAGGAAGTGATTTCTCACTTTCTCTCTGTCTCCCTGGCAAGCACATGTACCCGATAGCAAGACTCAAAGAAAAAGGAAAAAGAGAAACATCCCTGGGACTTCCTCTGCAGAGTAGGAGGCAGGGCTGCCGCTCCCAGGGCTGCCGCTCACTATCGCCTCTGGTAGGAATGGAAATTCCTGTCAGGCTATTACGGGGTGATGAGAAAACACATTTGAGTCATGTAAATAAATGGACTTGTCTGGATGTGAGACTAGTCGGGCACTCGGGTCACCTGACTTCCCAGGACGATTATCTGCAGGTAGCAAAGGGGCTGCCCAACTATTATGAACGCTTAACTCTCCTAGTGAATGCCTTATTTAATTGTCCACTGAGCAACTAGACAAAATCCCAAACCTTGCCGAATGCAGTCTTTGTATTTCCGGGCATAAGCTTCTAAGGCCAAAACCTCGGAGAAGAAAGGTCTATAAGCTAACTGTGTCCTTGTGAAGTCTCTTGGTCATCCAGCACTTGGCTGCTTCTGCTGATACCAGAAGTCACCATGAGCCTTGATATTTCACATCTCTCAGTTACCACCCTCCTTCCTGTGAGCCACGACCTCCAGCATACACAACTGTAGACCTCATACTGCATATGGATTACTCCCTTACGTGTTTGTCTTCCTCAATCAATTAGGACCCCTGGGAAGAGAACTTCGTTTATTCCTATTTATTCAGGTTTATTCATATTCATGCTTATTCATATTTTGTTTATTCACATTCAGTGGCCAGCTAATGATTGGCATGTGGCAAGCATGGTACATTGAACGGACAAAATAAAATAAAGTGAAAGCTACAAATACTACACCACTTCATCCAAGGAAAGAAAACACATCACACGTGCTTTCGTCTCCTGTTCCCTTGGCATTAAATCACAATGCCCCCCAGGACCAACAGTTAGCGTAATGGCTATGTCGCTGGACTCCCACGTAGTCGACCGCGGTTCACATCCCAGACCCAGTGGCTGAAAACTCACGCCTGGCGCATGTGCGCGCGTGCCCAAAATCCCGAGAGGAGAATGGAGGAGAAGGGATTGCGGCATGGCCATCCCCCCTGGGGGTAATTTCTCGCTTTCTATCTCTCTGTCTCTGCAAGGGCACGGGCCCTATAGCAAAAACCCCTCCAAAAAAAAAAAAAAAAATCACAATGCTCCCCATAATGGCTTATCTTTCCTTCAAGGAGGAGAGAAAACTAACTTTTGTTGGGGCTCTGCCATGTTCTAGGCCTTGTGCTGCTAATTGCTCAGAAGCTATTGTCCTGAAGATATACGATGTCTTTCAAATCTTCTATTTTATTTTTTATTTTTGGAGAGGTTTTGCTATAGGGTGCATGTGCTTGGAAGAAAGACAGAGAGAGACAGAGAGACAGAAAGCGAGGAATCACCCCCCACGGGGGATGACCATACCACAATTCCTCCTCCTCCACTCCGCCTCTCAGAATCTTGGGCATGCACGCACAGCCACCGGGTCTGGGACTTGAACTGCAGTTAACTACATGGGAGTCCAGTGACATAGCCATTATGCCAACTTCCAGTCCCCAAATCTTCTATTTTAAAGATGAGGAAAGAGAGGATAGGTGAATTTAAGTAACATGTTCCCATTCCCCCATTAGTAAATGCAGAACTGTAATTTAAAATTTATCATGCCCAGTAGGTTTTATTTTAAAAATCTATTATAGAAGATTTCCATTCTCAGAGATGAAATTGTTCCCACTTTACAATGCATTAGAACTTTTTGCCAGTTTCAGAGATCCTTGAGACAAATTAAGAATAACAATAAGTTAATAAACAGAAATGGATCTACAATAAAATACATCCTTAGGAAAATATTCTTTCTTTGGGGGGGGGGAGGCTTTTGCTATAGGGCGTGTGCGCTTGCCGGAAAGACAGAGAGAGACAGAGAGACAGAAAGTGAGAAATCGTCCCCTGGGAAAATGGCTACGCTGCAGTCCCTTCTCCTTCTTCCTCCTCTTGGGATCTTGGGCACACACACATACGCACCCAGTGTGAGTTTAAGTCACCAGGTCCAGGACTTGAACCACGATCGGCTACATGGGAGTTCAGCGACATAGCCATTACGCTAACTGCTGGTCCCAGAAAAAAAAAATTCTTCATAAATCTTTAGGCCAGCCCCATAGCCTAGTGGTGAAGGGAGACAGATCCTACATGGCTGACTGGTTGGAATCCCAATCCGTGAGACTTGAGAAATATTCTGGTTGTGTGTGCATGTATACCCAAGATCCCCACAGGATAGGGAAATGGAGGAAAAAGGATGACTTGAACCAAAGCCTAGTACAATCACCACTGTCTATTAAAAATACTGCTAGAGGGAGACCAGCAGTTGGCATAATGGCTATTTCGCTGGACTACCACGTAGGCGACCACGGTTCGAGTCCCGGACCCGGTGGCTTAAACTCACACCAAGCGGGTGTGCGTGCGTGCCAAAGATCCCGAGAGGAGAATGGAGGAGAAGGGATTGCGGCGTGGCCATCCCCCCTGGGGGGTGATTTCTTGCTTTCTGTCTCTCTGTCTCTGTCTGTCTGTCTGGCGAGTGCATGCACCCTATAGCAAAAACCTTCCCAAAAAAAGAAAAAAAAAATACTGCTAGAGGGACCAGCAGATGACATAATGGTTATGTTGCTGGACTCCCATGTAGTCGACTGTGGTTTGAGTCTCAGACCCAGTGGCTTAAAACTCAGGCCAGGCACATGTGAGTGTGTGCCCAAGATCCCAAGAGGAAAGAGGAGAAGGAATTGAGGCATGGCCATATCCCTGTGGGGTGATTTCTTGCTTTCTGTCTCTCCATCTCTCTGCCGAGTACACGTACCGTATAGCGAAAATCTTTCTCTTTAAAAAAAAAAGCACTAGAATATTTGAAAGGTACAGTGCCCATCTATTCCTGTCATTATTCCAAAATCCACAACATGGTTTACCCATATCGACAAAGATCAGATTTTCTGGACTTTGTCATACTTCTTAACAAATGAACACATTGTTGTAATGGTAATGAGATTATACTTAAAGACATTTTATATTTAAGGAAAATAAAACTGGTTTTATTACACAAATTAATTCTACATTCATGGGTCTTTGGCTTGCCAAAGTTAAAAATGTGTATTACATAACTGCACAGTTTGCATTTGCCTGAATTCTAGAGAGCTTAAATTCAGACCTAGGTCTCATACCTCCCAAAGCTGTAAGTTACAAATATAGACATTTCAATCTTCCTTTCTGTTATGAGGAAGACACCTCAACATGGTCATATCACACTGTGACCCCATTCTCACTTCCTTCCAGTCAGGTATGACCACAGGTGTGTATATGAGTATGTCTGGCATGTTCAGGTTGACCTAGAACCTGAGCCCATGGGCTTCTTACATGGCTCCTGCATCACACTGCCACCTGCACCCCTGTGGCCTGGCCAAGAGGATGAATGTTTAAGTTAATTTTTAACTGTATCTTTTTTTTTTTTTGCCTTTTTCTTTTATTTCTGTCTTTAATGTATGTAATCCAGGTTTTTTTTTATTTAATTTAATTTTTTTTATTTTTTATTTTTTGGAGAGGTTTTTTTCGCTATAGGGCGCATGCGCTCGCCAGACAGACAGAGAGAGACATAGAGACAGAAAGCGAGAAATCACCCTCCAGGGGGGATGGTCACACAGCAATCCCTTCTCCTCCATTCTCCTCTCGGGATCTTGGGCACGCATGCACACGCGCCCGGCGTGAGTTTTAAGCCACCGGGTCCGGGACACGAACCGCGGTCGACGTCGACTACGTGGGAGTCCAGCGACATAGCCATTACGCTAACAGCTGTTTCCCCCAGTTTTACTTTATAATAAGATGCATTGAATCCTTTCCACAAAGAGGCAGCATAAATACAAGCAAAAGAACAGAAGAGTTAATGTCAGTAGAAATCAATTTGGTCACTGAATGATTTATTTTTTTGGTAGAGGCTTTTTTTTTTTTTTTTTGGTTTGTTTTTGTTTTGTTGCCTTGTGCGTGCACTCACCAGAGAGCTAGAGAGGAAGACAGAGACAGTGAGAGGGAAAGTGAGAAATCACCCCTGAGGGGATGGTCATGTCACAATCCCTTCTCCTTCACTCTCCTTGTAGGATTCTGGGCACACATGCACATGCGTCCAGCATGAGTTTGAAGCCATAGGGGTCCAGGACTCGAACCACAGTCAGCCATGTGGAAGTCCAGCAATACAACTGTTACACCATTTGCTGGCCCCCTGAATGATTTTTTTAAGTAAGGGGAATTGGAATTGTTATAATCATTCTGCTGTTAAAAGTTGTCATCCCTTACTACTCACAGAATGGTATAATTATTCAAAAATCATACTTAAATTATGTTAAGACAACACTTATCCATGTATAATTAGCTAACTGTTGAACTGATCAACTTATGATAATACTAAGTATCTCTGCCCAATGGAGTGCAAGATCTCAAGGCCCTTCTCCTCCCTTTCCTTCCTCCAAATGCTACCTACAGATTGTAAATTTTAAAAAATTCTTCCTTTGGAGTTGAAAGGAAAAGGACTTCCTTTGGAGTCCTTAAAATCCAGGACTCTATGCCACAATTTCAGAGGTGGATCTTTGTAAGAGA